GAAGATCAGAAGGAGTTGCAGCTCCTTCCGACGCCTCACTCCATAGCGTCCTCCTCCTCCTCCCGTCCATCCGACTCGTCGTTACGATTCCGGTCCGATCTATTGGAACCGGGGCAAGGATCCGTGGACCTGCAATTGTCGATAAGCCTGAGGCCAATCCGGCCGGCGGCGGGGGCGGAGTGCTTGTTGAAGTACGAGGAGGTGATGAAGCCGGAGGCGGGGAGTTGCGTGGAGGCGCTGAAGTGGCAGGCGGGGGAGCAAATAAGGCTGGCGGCGATGGAAAAGGCGTACGCGGAGAGGGTGAGGGAGCTAACGAAGAGGGAAATAGAATTGGCGCAAACGGAATTCGCGAGGGCTCGACAGATGTGGGAAAGGGCGAGAGAAGAGGTGGAAAAGGCGGAGCGGATGAGAGAGAGAGCGACTCGACAGGTGGACTCTACGTGCATGGAGATCACTTGCCAATCTTGCAGGCAGAGGTTTCGGCCTTGTTAATTTTTCTCTTTATTATTAATAATTACTTCCCTTATATAGCTTCTTATTATTAAGCCTTATAATGCAGGGTTTGTTTTAACTCATCTCTGCCTCCCTATTATTTCTTTTCCTTAAATTTAAATTAATCCTTTCAATTAAGAAAGAATCTGTACGATTATAATGTATTAATACTCATCTGGAGTGTTTGTTTTGGAGTATTTGTTTTGGAGTATTTGTTTTGGAGATGGTCGTGTGTATATATATATATTATTAAATTGGCTTCTGTTTCTTTTATTATTTTTAGTTTATTATTTCATGCATGTATGGGAAAATAAAAGGATGTTTGAGTAATAATAGTTGGTTATAAATATAAATAATTTGTTGGTGATTGAAATAAAATGAGAGATTATAGTGTTATTATTTGTTAAATCATTTGAAATATTGATGGAGCAAGAAGAGCAGTGAAATTGAGAGAAAGAAGGCAAATGAATGGGAACAAAAAGCGAGAAGAAGAAGACGGGAAGATAGGAGTAGGGATTTTGTTTTCAAGTCTTTACACTTGATAAACACACTGCACAGACATCCCCACTACGAGAGACTCCTCATTTCATTTCATTTCATTTCATTTCATCTCATCTATTACTCCTGTGATGAGATTGTGAGAATGTGTGCCGTTTCCAAAACCAAGCAACATATATTATTAATTGGGAGGGAGTTTGGAATATTGTTGATGGTGGTGGTGAAGGGGTCAGGTGGTGGTGGTGAAGGGGGATGCTAAATTTCCAAAAATGACAACCTTTTTACCCTTCTCTTTCTGGGTAACAGAGAAAGGGAGAAAGAAAGATTTGATGGTGTTGTCATATCAAACCCCAAAGGGAAGGGAGAGGGAAAAAGGAAGCTTTCATTTGAAGCTACAAAAGTTGAAAGAATGAGGTATTATTATAATGGTGAGTGGGACTCGGCTCCACCAATTTCATAAATCTGTCTACTCATCCCTCACCCCTCACCCCTCCAACCTTTGTTTTCATCATCATCATCCTTCGCTACCAGTCTTCTCTTGTCTCTCTAATCTTTCCCCCTTCTTCATCCTTCATGGATGTCCTGTTTTGCAAATCCCACATCATCAACAAGTTGGTTGCTTCAATATCAAAACAGGTTTCAGTTGTTGATGGAAGTGTGTGCTTTTATCCCTCTCATCATACAGAGTACAATTAGATACACAATTGGATGTTCACGATTCAGTACCATCTAAACAAATGAAGATCTAAATGAAGAGGTGAGACCCACCACTTAAAAGGGTTAAAAGGGTCATGGGATCAACCCAAGGAAAAAAAAGAAAGTACATAATAATTGAAACAAATCAATCAGGCCGTTCACGAAGAATCTTGTAGTGCTACTCAGTTTCTCATTCTCATTTCCAACCTGTAAGCATGGCCCGAGTGTGCTAAGAGGGAGCTCAAAAGGGGATTCATTAGATAGAAGCAACTCTTATAGCATTGTTTATGAGATAAAAGCAAAAGGACACTGATGAAACAAACTAAAGAAAAAGGATCAAACATGTACATAGAGCGAAAAGGATAAGTTATTCCTATTAGTATTTGGATCTTCCATCTCCCTCTGTGATCACATCTTTGAAAGCACCACCACTGGGAATCATCGGCAGCACATGTTCCTGATGCGGTACAATCACGTCCAACAAGTAAGGCCCTTCGCTCTCCAGCATCTTCTTTATTGCTGCTCTTAAATCTGCCCTCTTTGTCACCCGTGCCGCCCGCACCCCGCATGCCTCTGCAAACTTCAACATGTTCGGGAATATCTCAGACTCATTTGATGGATCTCCCAGGTACGTGTGAGCTCTGTTGGCTTTGTAGAACCGATCCTCCCACTGCACAACCATGCCCAGATGCTGGTTGTTCAGCAGTAGGATCTTCACCGGAAGTTTCTCGACACTGATCGTGGCCAGCTCTTGGATGTTCATCATGAAACTACCATCTCCATCGATGTCAACGACAACCGCGCCAGGATTTGCAACTGCTGCCCCCATGGCTGCAGGCAGTCCAAAGCCCATCGCACCTAAACCACCGGAGGTTAGCCACTGGCGTGGCTTCTTGTACTTGTAGAACTGAGCTGCCCACATTTGATGCTGCCCCACCCCTGTGCTTATGATGGCCTCACCGTTGGTTAGCTCATCAAGAACTTGAATTGCATACTGTGGAGGAATGGCCTCATCAAATGTCTTGAAAGTTAAAGGATATTTTGATTTCTGCTCATTCAGCTCCTCTCTCCACGCAGAGAAATCGAAGGGAAGCTTCTCAGAATTCTCAAGTAAACGATTCATTCCCTGCAAGACTAACTTCACGTCGCTGCAGACTGATACGTGGGGCTGCTTGTTCTTCCCAATCTCGGCCGAATCAATATCCACATGAACAATTTTCGCCCGACTCGCAAAGGCCTCAAGCTTCCCTGTCACGCGGTCATCAAATCTCACTCCAAACGCAAGCAACAGGTCAGATTTATCCACAGCATAGTTAGCATAAACTGTCCCGTGCATTCCCAGCATTTGCAGAGACAAATCATGGGAGCAAGGAAAAGCCCCAAGGCCCATTAGAGTGCTGGCCACCGGAATCCCAGTGAGCTTGACGAACTGCCGCAACTCCACCGATGAATTCAAACACCCCCCACCCACGTACAGAACAGGCTTCTTCGATTCAGAGATTAATCGCACGATTTGTTCCAAATGGTAATCCATGGGAGGCTTAGGTAACCTAGACAAGTAACCATGTAATTTCATGGGCTGATTCCAATTGGGAACCGCGAGCTGTTGCTGAACGTCTTTAGGTATATCAATAAGAACAGGACCAGGTCGACCAGAAATTGCGAGGAAAAATGCCTCGCTCACGATCCTAGGAATGTCTTCTACATCAAGAACCAGATAGTTGTGCTTTGTAATAGAGCGTGTTACCTCAACAATGGGAGTTTCCTGGAACGCATCGGTACCGATCATTCTCCTCGGAACTTGCCCTGTAATTGCTACCATGGGAACGCTATCGAGCAGGGCGTCAGCGAGTCCACTGACCAGATTGGTGGCGCCAGGGCCGGAAGTTGCAATGCAAACGCCGGGAAGGCCGGAGGACCGAGCGTATCCCTCCGCGGCGAAGACGCCACCCTGCTCGTGACGGGGGAGAACGTTACGGATGATCGAAGATCGCGTGAGGGCCTGGTGGATCTCCATGGACGCGCCGCCGGGGTAAGCGAAGACACTGGTAACACCTTGGCGCTCGAGAGCCTCGACGAGGATATCAGCGCCTTTCCTCGGTTCATCGGGAGCGAATCGGGAGACGAAAATCTGAGGGGAGATGACGGAAGTTTCGAGGGAAGTGGCAGAGGCGGCGGTGGAGGAGGGCTTGGGGGAAGGGTTGGAAAGAGAGGTGCTACAGATGCGAAGAGGGCGGGGGAAAGTGGGATTGTGAGGAAGAGGAGAAAATGAAGAATGGAATTTGGAGAAGGGTTTAGGAAGAAGGAAGGAGGAGGATTTGGAGAAGGATTTGGAAGCGCAGGGGTGAGTAGCCGCCGCCATTGATGACATTGGAGAAGGAAAGAGGCGATGAGGAGGGAGCAGCGAAATGGTGAAGAGAAGTAGTGGTTCGAAGCGATCTCTGAAGGGATTTATATTTAACCGCGCCTTGGTTTTTTTATTACCACTCCATATCAGTAAAAAGAAAAAAGGTAATTTCTTTACCCTACACTTCGCATCAAAATCTTTTATGTATTTATTTATTTATTTATTCTGAAAAGTCATTGACTAACCCTGTTGAATATTAATTTAAAGTGTTTTATTATTTTTCTTTTTTTGCTTTTAAGACTTGTGCGGTTAGGTGATACCAACGGCTGGTACTTACTTATTTATTTATTTGACACAGGTTTTGGCAGTTTTGTTTTTCACGTGGATTTGAGTTTTTTGTTTTTTAAGGGCATTTGGAAAGATGCAGTGAGTTTTAAAAGGCGATGAGTTGTATTGGAAAATTAGAGGATAATACAATTTGTTTTGTGGGTTTAGGGTTTATGAGATTAGAAAAATGGGAATTAGTTTGTCTTTTTGCTTCTTTCTTTTCCCTTACACCTGTCCGTTGGAAGGGGTAGGTTGCATGTGCCCCCAATTCCATAAAATCCAATGTGGAAAACGTTCCCAACCCTTAATATTTTATTTTATTATTTTACCTGCAACAGAAGAGAGCATTCAGTGTATTATGTTTATTGTCATTTAGTTTCCAAATTTGAAAGCTCCATAAGTTACCGAAATATTAGAAACAAAGCTCCAAACAACCATAATCCTTTACTTCTGTATGCCGTGGTCGGGAGAAATGTATGTGGATTGAGATGTAGAGTCAAAGCATGCATGCTGTTGAAGCAGGAGGGGTTGCTGTCATCTGAAACCTACAAATCTAGATACAAAACCGGTTGCACTGCTCATGTCTATATCAAAACAAGATGAAGAGGTGAATGAATGGCATGCAAAGTAGAAAAAAAAATTGTTGAAACAGCAGCAAGTAATGTCAATTCCAGGACATGTAGTTCAAGTTTATACAACTTTCTAAGTTAACCTCATTTGAAAAAAATAAGGAAACATAAAAGAAAAATACACTTCCTTTTACGCCATGGAAAAGCATCATCACTTTTTTCCCCCTTCATTGCACCACACAGCAGGATCATCATCATCTACACACAAGAATTGCTTACCTTACCTTACCTTACCTTACCTTACCTTACCTTAGCTGCAGGGAAACAAACACCAGAATCAGAACCTGTTCTTGAAGACGGAAGGAAAAGCTAAGAATGACAAAAAACAAGTTGGACACAGTTTCGAATATCAGTAATTGGTTGGTCCTAACATGGAAAACATACACCATATATGTGATACGTATATTATATATATATGTTCAGATCAGAGTGTAGCTAAAAAGAGGTTGGCCTTATAATTAAATCTCAGAATTTAAGAAGACCAAACAACCATTTCTCTTCTGCTACTCCCTACTCCGTGCATAAGGAGAAGTATTTCCATTCAGAACAGAACAGAACAGAACAGAACAGAAGAAGCATGGGATAAAGTCTTTAGGGGAGGAGGCATACAAACATGTTTTTCCTTTTCTTTCTCTGGAACCAAAAAACTGTAGCTTGCCTCCACAATTCTCCATGGAACTCAATGTGAAACGCATCAAAACCATCTAACTAAAGAAGCTCACAATCTGATGATTTCACCAAATCATCATGGCACAACTAAATTTGAAATGCCTCCAAAAACTAGACCAAACTGGACCAATCCAGTTTCAACACCTCCACAAAAGTATCCTCTCAATTTTATGACTAAAACATTTGGTTCGCTCATTCCAAGATGCCCTGCAATATCAGGGAAGAAACCAAGAAGAAGAGAAACCATAATCCTTCTACGACCTGATTCATCCCTTCATTTGAACCCACTGATCCCTAGTTGCCACACAAACCCAATTACAACCAAATTTTGATAGTCTAACATACACATGGTGAAAGCTTCATTTGTTGCGCTCTACCAAATTCTTTCAAATTTTTCAATGAAAGCTCTCTCTCTCTCTCTCTCTCTCTCTCTATATATATATATATATATATATATAGGATGAAGAAGCAAAACAACAAGATAACCTGTCACGACCATTCTCATCCAAAGACCTTCACAACCATTCTCACCCTATGCTATTGTCATTAATGTGAAAACTTTTGTTTCATTAAGAGACAGAGATCTTCGTTACGTGAAAAAAGAAGATACAAAAGAAGGGTGAAGCTACTGATAAAATAGTTGCCGGGAAATTCATACATCGGAACTAAAAAGAATGTCAAGCAAGCAAAGGCCAAAACAGATGGTTATTTTTATAAGGTTGAGATTCATCGAAGAAGGGAGAAACTTTTCCAAAAATTATTAGAAAGCAAAATCCGAAGATGAAGCTTTAAACCAAACCAAACCACTCCTAAGAGACGAATGAATTCAGATAGAATCATGAGAACCACTCAACAAATCAGCACGTTCTTGCCGGGCGATTACTCGGTCAGAAAAAAGGAGACGAACAAGCATGCAATCTCCCGATAAAGGAAGAAGTGAATATGAAATCGGGTAAATCGCGAAAAAAGTAAGAATTCAATTCATCCTGATCATGACACAAATCTAGATAGATCACAAGATGAAGCTTAACGACTGAATCTTTAATTGTGCGTTAACGACTCGAATCACACAAACACCTACCTCTGACCATCAAGATTGCCCTGCCCGCTGTTGCCTCCACTGGCGTAAGAACCGTCCTCCGCCGAGGGCTGCCACGCCGACTGCCAGGCCTGTGACGGCGGCTGAGCGTAAACTCCGATGGGATCCATTGCCGGTCTCCCAATCATCATCCCCCCGGGAGCCCCTGCCGGTTGACCCATAGGGGGGTAATAGTAGGGCACTCCACTAGCAGTGGCTCCGACCATGCCTCCCAATCCAGCTTCGTCCTTGATTTCATCCCTAGGCACAATATCAACTAAGAAATCAAAGATATCGGTCCTCGTGATGGCCGCCGCAATATCGTTCTTCTGCAATGTCCGCCTCTTATTCTCCTCCGCGTGAAGCCATGACCTAATAGTGAGTTCCAGAATGAAGAGCTCGCAGGCCTTGGCGAACAAAATGGGCGCTTCGGCGGAGATCATACGCACGTCCTCGTCGGCTTTCATGATCTTCTTAATGCGAGCCAAAGGAAGCTGGTGGTTTTTAAAATCGTTAACCTGTTCGATTTCTTGGCGCTGAAAGGACCAGAACATCTGAAGCTGCTGCTGCTGCTGCTGGAGGAGGTGGTGGAAGTGAGGGGCCGGGACGGGTGCCTGAGGAGGAGGAGGAGGAGGAGGGTAAGGGGAGGATTGGGCTTGATTGTTGTTCTCCATCAGCCGGCAAAGGCGGAGGTTCAAGTGTGGCTTAGCCAAATGCTGGTGGGATTCAATCGGAGAGTGGTGGGATGGAGTGATGACAAAGATCGGAGGAAGTGATGATTTGGGGGAACAAAAAATGTGAGAAATTTTTCGAGTGGTGAAGATGGAAATTTAAAGGGTGAGAGACACACACAACTCCAACAAATGTTGAGATAAGGTAATACCCTTCACCTCTGCATTATAATATGGAGGGAAATTCTCCCCCAAAACAAAAATAAAAACAAAAATAAAAACAAATATTTCACATTTTTAATTTACCCCTAACTCATATATAAATATATACTTTTTTTGCACGACTCAAATATTATATATTTTTTAATATCTGAAAATGTAATGCTCCCAATAGATACCTAAATAACAACCATTTTTGTCTAAAAAAAACTTAAAAAATTAAAAGAATTGAAAGTTAATAAAGTATAGGATCGAACAAAAACTGTCCAATTAGGTTGGCATAGCGGCAGACAAAGCTTTTTTGTTGAACCAAATGCGCACTTTTTTGTGTATTTGAGCAGCAGCATCAACAACAACAGCAAGGCATTGTAAAGCACTTGGATACACACAAAAACAACCGTACATAGTTACAGTGGCTGTCAAATTCTAAAATCTAAAATGCACTTAGTTGTGCGTTGAGGATCTTGTAGTAAGGGAAGATCTCATGTCCACAATCGCAGATTCATCTGCACCCAGCTTGATGGCCTCTTTGCTCGCTCTTATGAACCTCGAAACAGCTCCTTTACTGTACTCATGCGCTCCCCTAACGCTCATCTTCTCGCTTATTCCATTAGGGAAGCTGCTCAGGAAATGGTCGCCCTTCAGAACAGCAGCCAACTGAACTATTTCGCTTTGGAACTCGGATAGTCCACTCTTTTCATTCGCTTCTGTTTTCCTCAATGCTGTCACTTCAGGCAGCGTCACTGCCATTCATGATTTCAGTAAGCTTATAACTCAACTCAACACTATGTTTGTTTATGAAAAATGATGTACCTGGGCAGTCGGTTCTTGGGGAGGCTAATTGCCCCACAACGTCCTCAAATGTGGCAGCCCATGCATCTCTGTGTGTGAGGAAGTTAGAGGAGAGATTGAATATTTTCTTTATGGTAGCAGGGATTGAGGAATGCTCAAACTCTGAGTTTGGTGTAGGACCCTTCGGACTGCTTATTACTGCAAAACAAACACAGATTTAGATCCATAGATATGGTCTTCTTTGGGCTTTCTATTTTGAGCTGCTCTCAAGGCTTTTAGAACGCATCTACCAGGCTTATAAAGGGTGTTTTGTTCTCCTTTCCAACAGACGTACGATCTCATACAGATGATGTTAGTTTTGATGGAATCACACTAAATCTGATCAAGTTCTAAAGGGTCAGATTCCGTAGAGAATGTTGATGAATGTTGGGAGGGAGTTAGCTCATTTAGGAAATGATCGTAGGTTTAAGTAAGGCATACATCACGAGAGCTTATGCTCAAAGTGGATAATATCATACTATTGGGGAGAGTTGTAAGTGACTTGGCTTACCCGTGCCTTTCTTAATCCAAGGCGAGACCATAATGGTAGGCACACGGACTCCGAGCCGATCGAACTTGAAGAAATAAGGAGGGGGGCCTGTGTTGCCATCAGGGTTAGGGACATTGACAAAAGGAGTGTTGACATGGTCAAAAAATCCACCGTGCTCATCGTAAGTGATTATAAACAGTGTCTGGTTCCACTGTGGGCTAGCCCTCAGAGTCTCATAAACCTCCTTCACCAGCTTTTGCCCATTGGCAACATCATGAGAGGGATGATCATCATTGGCTGGCATTCCCACAAGATCAAAATACCGTGGCTCAATCACTGTTAAGCTGGGGAGCTTCCCATTTCTAGCATCCTTCTTGAACTTCAAATCATACTGATGAAACTTGAAAATATACTTCAATTTCCTCAAGTTTCTATAAAACAGAGTTGTGGGTATGTTCTGGAAGTAAATCCCAAAGTTGAGGCCATTCTCGTGCAGCGAATCAAAAATGGTTTTCTGGGGATATCCCTGAGCCAATTGCTTCTTCACATGGCTGGTTGAACCATGAGAAGTTGCAGAGTAAACGAACAGCCTATTGGGTTGAGTTGGGCCAGGAATTGAAGAGAACCACCGATCAAACACTGCGAATTCACGAACCAAAGCTCCATAAACGGGGACAGCTTCAGGGTTGAAGCCTTTCATGACAGTTTGGGAGAGATTTGGGGACATGGACAGAGCCTGTTCTACAAAGCCAGACATGGAAGGAATGGAATTAGAGCCAAATACCTGGTGTAGAACTGCTTCAAATGAATGCCCCGGATCCGGATCTACAAACTGGGCGTCGTCGGAGAAGCAAATGGTTTGAGGGTTGGGATTCTTGGTTGAAAGGGGGTTGCATTCATCGCCAGTGACGCCGTTGATTTGTGGGTTGATGTGTTTCTTCATCCATCCAATCATGTGATCGAATGAACGATTCTCCATCACCAAAACCACTACGGTTTTGATGGGTTGCTGCTGGAAACTGGGTTGAGGAAGCCATGAGAGCGTAAGAAAAAGCAGGAAAATGAGGGGCAGATGAACTTGCAGTTGGATTCTCCGTCCTCCCATTGTTATCGAAGATAACTCAGTGAAATTTACAGACAAATGCTCTACTGATTCTCTCAGCCAGACGGACTTCAAAAAAGCAAAATCCTTTTGAAAAATGGGTTCTGACTATGAGAGAGAGAGGAAGAGGAAGAAGAAGAAGAAGAAGATTCTTTCAGAAGCAGTGCAATCAAAGTAAAGAATCAAAGCGAAAATGTTGAAAATGGGTTGTCTGCCATTGTTGGTGTTCAAAACTTCTATCCTTTTGTATCGCATTAGCAGTTAGAGGTTTGAAAACTTTTTAAATGAATACGAAATGTTGATCAAAATGAGTATATTCATGGAACTTATTTGGAGAATACTGATTCATTGGTTTCTAAAATGAATTACAGAAACTGTGTGTCAGTTAGTGGATGTTTAAGTTACCACCAATTGAATTAATGTTCGAGAAATCATTCTCTTAATCGTTCTCTTAATCATTCTCTTAATCGTTCTCTTAATCATTCTCTTAATCTCTTAACCTAACACACGTAAATCATGGAGCAATAAAGGAGGCAAAAGCTAAATGAGTGGAGATTTAAGTTTGTTACTTTTTCCTACCCACTTACTTCTTTTTCATTTCGCAACAATATTGTATTGCACCCACTTCCAACCCAATTTCACTCACTTTGGTTTGGAAAGTTGAGCTTCTTTCTTTTTCCATTAGGCTTCCTTTGATTTAACTTCTTTAAAATTGTTCCCATCACTCCAAAAACCTATGCCATTTATGAGTTTGGCTTATTAAGGCTTCAGTGGCTCTACATTTGGTCCACACTTTCAGACAAATGTTGGTGTGCCTCTTTTGCCTTAATTTCACTTTACAGAAATCAGAAAGCAGGGTAATTGGCCGACTTTGGTGGCAAATTTTGTCGCATTTTACACCTAAAACAAACACACACACACACACAATAATAATGTGCTACGCATGCGAACCATAGCACAGTCTTTGCTTTTGGACGTGCAAAACCACAAATTTATAGTGGCAACGTGTGAACGAGAGACTCCATAACCCAAGTTCTTTTTTTTTTTTAAAGAAGACAATGCAAGTACTAAAGATATTATATAATAATCAGCTTATTGCGAATCCTTTCACGAATACCAATAAAAGTTTTAGAAAAAGGAGAAAAAAAAGAACTTTACATATTACCAACCAGGACCCATTATTTTTTTCAAGTACAATTGCCAGTAATTTTTATAAAAATACGGAACTGGACGCTTGACCCAGCACTTGGTTAAAAGTTAGTTAGTTAGAGAAGATCTCATTCACAAATTCGTTTTACCCAAGACAGTAAAAGGTTAAAAAGTAGTATGAAATAGAGGACCCTTGACAGTTCGCACCAAGCACCGACTAAAGTAATCGTGGTCTTCAGCCACGCACGGATGGCTGAATTGGCCCACCACCCCAAGTCCAAGTGCGTATGGACATTCACCATTATCTCTCTTCTTATTTGTTCCCTTTGTTTTGTGCACTACTCTTAACAATCATATAGAAAATGAAGCAAGCAGTAGACAGTTCAGAAGTGAAGAAAGTTGATTCTCACACACACACAACACAATCCACGAATTCATGGAGCTGCAAAACCTTCAGAAACATAAACACAAGGTCAATTCTCGGAATGCATTTCTTTCATGCACCAAATCAACAATCTCAAAATTATTCAACTTTTCTTCATAAATATGACTATTTTTCAACCAAAACAGATTATAAGCACAAGCACCGATGCTCTTCCGACCAGCGGTTCCAATAAGGGCCCCCAATTTCAGAGGTTACTCGGACTAAAGTCGGTGATATAACAATATGCGTATGTGACTTCATTAAATTAATTACCAGATCTTCTCAAGTATGCTAACACGCCTAATCCGGCAACAAGGGCGGCTCCAGCTGCAACTGCACTGTACGCCGACGCCCATGCGTCTGATTGAGCATAATCCAAATTTCCCGCACCAGAACTCCTTTTATGACCACGACTTCCCGGGTATTCTAAATGCAATCTCAGACCCTGCGCAAAACCACCATGTTCTTTTCTTCAGTTTCCATTTCCTTTCAAGGTTCAATCGTCGTTCACAAATAATGATAATATCCAAATACGGTACCTTCCACCCAGCCAATCTTGCGTGTTCGACAGCTGCTACAAGGTCACTGTCTGATGCAAGAACAACTTTGTCGCGGTCTTCATCTTCGTACTACAAAAATTGGGCCATCAATTAGTTCCCCATATTTCTATTATGGAAACTTAATAGTATCAAGACAAATAAAGAGACCAGAAATATTAGTCCTTTTTTACCAAAATCTGAGGCAATTTGTTGCGGTCAATATCATCACCGACTCTCTGAAGGATTGCTGTTATAACATCTGTTAAACTCCGAGTATCTT